TAAATATATATATATATATAACGGCTGCATTTGATGCTCACTTGTTTTTTGCCGGCAGGTATGGTGGGCGGCGGTGAGCAGCCAGGCCACGCTGAGATGCACCTGCTGCCGGAGCCGCTGTTCTCGATACCGACGGACAACGCGTACGTGACGAGCGCGCGCGGCACTGACGACGGACGCATCTTCCTCACGGCTCGGGATGGATGCCTCTACGAGCTCTTCTACCAGGTATGCAGCGCTCGTTGAGTCGCCAGGTGTCGCCACGTGTCGCCATGGGTCCTAACGTCACCAGGTGTTGCCACGTGTCGTCACGTCGCCATGTGTCCTAACGTCACCAGGTGTCGCCACGTGTCGTTGAGTCACTAGGTGTCGCCATGGGTCCTAACGTTGCCAGGTGTCGCCACATGTCCTAACGTCGCTAGGTGTCGCCACATGTCCTAATGACGCCAGGTGTCGCCCCTTGATCGAACGATGCAATTTCATAATGTTTGTAACAATGGCATACGCCATTACATTTTCCAGGCTTGGCCGGCTTACAGATAAGCTCATTGACATGTTTTAAAAAAATGCGTGATTTTTTATGAAATTATTTGCATGCTTACACATCCGTTGTTTCTTGCACGTAAACCAATTTAAATGTCGTCGACGCGTCAAACTTCTCGTTGAACTTTTTGAGCTCACGCGCATCATCGGCCGCTCGAAGGTAATAGGTCCATAATAAAAATATTGTTTGTTTGACCTCACCTGACCGACCCGCCAATTTTTTTTTTTCATCTTTCCCATTTTTTTTTTTTTTTACAAATTGTATCACTGTACATTATATAAATCTGTAGGCAATACATTATATGTACCAAAAAAAAAAAATTAAACACAAAAGGTTTCGCCACACAAGCACGCCCGAGCATGTAGACACCATGCTGAATTTGTAAAAAAAATCCTACCTACCTACCCAAACTTCAGCCTGGGTCGGGTGAGGGCAAACGAATATTTTTTTAATTGTGGCCTCAGTTTCGGCAGGGTGCCCCTACCTCCCATAACTCTGGAATTCTCCATGATCCGAAATACGGTGGGGTCGGGTTGGGTCGCGCTGACGGCGGATCGGTGAAGTGCATGATGTGTGTTTACAGGCCGAGGATGGCTGGTTCAGCAGGAAGTGTAGGAAGATCAACCACTCGCACAGCCGATTGTCGCTGTTCCTCCCCGCGTTCATCAACTTCTCGTTCTCCGACGAAGGTGAGTGTGTGAGGGGGAGGGGAAGGGGACTGTATGAGAGGGAGAGGCGGAAGGGGAGGGAGAGGATAAGTGTGAGGGGTAGGGGGATGATGAGAGGGAGTGTGTGAGGGGGAGGGGGAGGTGGAGGAGGAGGCTGAGTGTGTAAGTGGGAGGAAGAAGGGGAATGTGTGAGGGGAAGGGAGGGGGAGTGTGTGAGGGGAAGGGAGGGGGAGTGTGTGAGGGGAAGGGAGGGGGAGTGTGTGAGGGGAAGGGAAGGGGAAAGGAGGGGGAGTGTGTGAGGGGAAGGGAGGGGGAGTGTGTGAGAGGAAGGGGGAAGGGGAATGTGTAAGGTGGAGGAGGAGAGGGATTGTGTGAGGGGAAGGGAGGGGGAGTGTGTGAGTGGGAGGAAGAAGGGGAATGTGTGAGGGGAAGGGAGAGGGAGTGTGTGAGTGGGAGGAAGAAGGGG